CCCACGTGACCCAAAAATGTCACTTGCCATTTAAAGTGTATATAAACCCAAGAAGAGATATCTGATACATTGCAGCCTTCCAGCCCTAAGAGGTGGCGGCTGCATTGATTTTCCTGTTACAGGTGTTTTCTCCTTTATTTTCACAAGGCGATCCTGCCAGTAACACACCTCCTCCCCTAAGGTGACAACATGTACTGTATCCATGGAGGAGCAGCATTGTCCCCCTAGAACAGGACTACAGAATACCTCCCCCCTCTCCCTTTCCCCAGCAGCGAGGTGTTCTCTACTCTGCAGAGACAGCTGAGAATAACTCCAACTGATAAAAGTGCAGCACGGGCCGAGAGCACAGAAAGTGGTCAGATTTCTGGCAGGATCATCAGGTATTTTTGCACTTACATATAATAAAACCCTTTATTGGTATATTTCACAGATCAAGAGGCAGCAAATAAGAGAAGTTCATTGTGTGGGGTTTGCTCCTCTCACAGGAGGGTTTTTTCAGAGTGAAGTAGAGAACAATTCAGCACAAGAGTACGTTCCTGCTTTTGTAATGTATATTCACCATCAGTATATTCACCAATGATTCCCAATCAGTGAAAAAAAAGGCCCCAAAATGTAACAAAAACATTATTTTTATATTACTTTGTATATTTATACTAATAAAACGAAGCAATAAAATCTCTTTGTGCAGTCATGGTTCTAATTACAACACAGCAATACAACTGCATCAGTAATGTATAAAACAGGTCTAAATCATTATAAAATTCCCAGAATTCATGAAACAGAATTATCAAAATATGACCAGAATTCATAAAAATAAAATGTTAAAATATCACCGTAATTCATAAAAAAAAATAATGATACAAATATTACCGGAATTCATAAAAATAAAATGTTATAAACATTACTGGAATTCATTAAATATAGAACTTTAAAAAGATTGCCGGAATTTATAAAAATAAAACTTAAAACATATGTGTCTGGGTTTATAAAAATAACATTTTCAAAATATTACAGAATTCATAAAAATAGAATTTTAAAAATATTACTAGAATTCATTAAAAACATTTTAAAAGTATTCCTGGAATTGATGGAATAGAACTTTAAAAATTAGAATTAGAATTAATCAAAATCAAACAGAATTCATAAAATAGGACTTTAATAATATTATCAGAATTCATAAAATAGGACTTTAATAATATTATCAGAATTCATAAAGTAGGACTTTAAAAATACTACCTGAATTCATTTTGAAACAAAAAAAAAATACTACCTGAATTCATAAAATAGCATTTTAAAAATATTACCGGAATTCATAAAAATATTATCAGAATTCACAAAAATAGAACTTTAAAAATATAACAAGAATTCATCAAATAGAATTTTTAAAATATTTCCAGTATTCATAAAAATAGGATTTAAAAAATATTACTGGAATTGATCAAAAAAATTGAATTCAAAAAATATTACTGGAATTGATCAAAAAAATTTAATTCAGAAAATATTACTGGAACTCATAAAAATATTAACCGGAATTCATAAAAAATTATTTTAAAAAATATTACTGGAATTCATAAAATAAATTAAAGATTTTTTTTTTTTTTAAATACTGGAATTCAACAGCAGATTAGTTCCTTCTGCAGGGTAATTGGCTGAGCGTTATGGGAACACATTACCTGTCATGTTGCGTAAATGTCGGTATGATATCCCAGCACACAGCTTGAATGTAGCAGGTAGCATATCTCAGCTCTAGAGTGATATACGCCCAGTAGAGGACGGCAGTGTGGGCTGTGGATCGCTGGTTATGTATCTGGTGTTGGTGGATGGTCAGTATCTCCAGGCTCTTTATAGGTGGTCGGTAGCCCCAAGCTCACACTGTATGGACCTCGGTTGGTCTGGGAAGTGTATGACCAGTGACAGGACGGTTATCAGAGCTCTGGGTCAATGTGATCTGTACTGCTGGGCATGCTCCGGAAATTCTTTTTAAATCCTCCAGTGTGAAGGATGCTGTGCTGCAATGACACAGATAAGGACACAACATCATTTACTGGAGGCCAGTGGGAGCAAGGACAAGAGCTACACAAACATGTCAGCCGATGATTAAGACTTGATACCACACATCAAGGCAATGATGAAGCAACAGCCATTACGCCATTAACCCCATCCAAGGCGCTTCATAAAAATACCACAAAGTGTGCCATAATATTATGTACGGTGGTGCAAAATTCATCGTTTTTGTATCATAAGAATAATTATGTCTTTAAAAAAGACGGACTTTTTTATAATAATATTTATATAAATATTTATATTATGATAATTAATAAATATTATTTAAGAATATTATATATTTGTTTTATTTCAAAGGAGCCACCAAAGTGGCTTTGTTTTTATTATTAGTGCATATTTGTCGGGCTGGATTAATTACGGTGCATTGGTGGCAAGAAATGAACTGGTTAAGGGTCCTTTTGGACCACCCCTCCTTGTACCATGCCGAAGCCCAGGGGTCTCCTGCCCACCCTGGCACAGCCATGTGAATAGGCTGCTGGGATTCTCCAAAGAATCAGGAGAGAGAGAAAGAAAAGAAACGCCATAAGAAGGACCTGAATACATGTAATAGTTTAGGGGGAAAGTATGAGGCTTTGAAAATTAAATCTGTGTACTCACACCCGTAATGTTACAAGAAGGCCTCATGGGGGGTCAAGCAACCTGGTTTAAAGAGGAACTCCAGGAACTGTAAAAACGAACCCTTGCAGTGGGGCTACCCCTGCGCTCCAAGGGTCACTTGCTCGTCTTTCTCCAAGGCCTGGAATAAAGAATATATACTCACCTGACCCTCAATCCTGCAGTGGTCAGCGCTCTCCTCTGTCCCCCTCTTCTCCTCAGTGTCCTCATCTAATAGACCTGTATTAGATATGATGACATCACGTGTCCTTAGACCCTCCAGGACCCTGGTGAGAAGACGGCGCGGGTCTTGTAGGTAGGCAGGACCAAAGATCAGGTGAGTATATATCCTTTAGTTTTGCCCCCTAGACAATTCCTGGAGTTCCTCTTTAAACAAGCTTGCTTGTCCCCCAGAAGTTCTTCTTGCAACTTCATCGATGTGAGTACACGTATTTCATTTACTTACATTTTTCCAAACCCCCCCCCCCATACTTTCCCCGTAATCTGTTACACTTATTCAGATCTCTGCCATTACTTTTTTTTCTCCTCTTTCTCCCGACTCTGGAGAATTCCAAAAGTCAATTCACATGCTGGGCAAGGGCGTGCAGGAGCCCTTTGCTGTGGTACGGTCAGGGCTGGATTTCCCACAAGGCCAATCAAGGCCCGCCCTTGGGGCAGCAGGGAGTAGAGGGGCAGCAAGGGTGTGGAATTCCTATCTCCTGATGCCTGGGACATGCAGTTCCGGGCGCCAGGCGGGTAGTTGTTTTCTACATTTAGCGCTGCTTTGGGCAAGCAGAGCTAAATGTACAGCGGGGGAAGCCGCCGCTTGTTTTGTACAAGTGATCTCAGCGATGTCGCCGAGATCACTTGTTTGCAACCTGCAGGTCTACCATTCTCCATTGGGGGAGGGGGGCGCATTTAGGAACCTGCCCTTGGGGCAGCAGAGAGAGTAAATCCGGCCCCGGGGACGGCACATGGAAAGATGCTCCAAAGGACCTAAAGCCATGTAGAAGAGATGGGTGGTCATGCTCAATGAGATTACGGGGATTTTTGGGATGTCAAGTTCTTGACCGTATTAGGATTCTATTATGTAATGGAGTTTAATATGTTTCCTCCAGTAGAGGCGAGGAGAGATCAGAAGTGCCCAGGGTGAAAGAAGAAACTTTGGGCTGTTCTTGCAAAGAGGTATTTATTGGCTATGTAACTACATCATCAAGGCATTTCGTGGCACAGCAATGGTCACTTCATCAGGATGGGTTTAAAAAACCAAAGGTGCATGAGCTGCAATGGCCTGAACGTGGGCGAGGTAAGAGGTGGGTACCTATGATAATGGTGGCATGGTGGACATACTCAACAGCTTACAGAGCAAATGGCTTCCCCATGAAGAGTCTATTGACGATCCATGGTGAAACTTGAGTTCGGCCTACATCACTGCAAATCTCCAACCGATTTCCTCAATGCTTCTCATCACACCCGGGTTTATTTAAAGCCCAACTGAACTTTCTGCTCCAACTTTCGAGAGATTTACAGATATTCTGAAGAGCCACTGTCTTTATGGTCATTCACACCAAATTTGGAAGATGCAAGTGAAGAGCAGACCAAGGAATCTGATCTCCCGCCCCGGTGATTGGCTCAAAGGTTTATCCAGCAGCGTTTCTTCTACCACAACCCTAGAACTGATCATGTGATCATAGCAGACAGACCCACCCACTGAGCACTCAGCCTGAAGGAATAATGGCAGTGGCCTATTTCAGTATCTCGAGAACATAAGCAGCTAATAAGACGGAGTCTGCTAAAATGTTTGCAGTAAACTGATCTGAAAGGATTTTTCATATGGAAGTATCATTTCACTTTAATACCAGCCACTGTCCATTTCAAATGTTGGCAGATGTTCTCTAGGGCCTCATTTCCACTTATCAGAAAAGAGGTCACGTGTTCAGAATCGGACACAAACTGGGAGGTTTATATAGCAGTTTAATTGTTGACCTCAAAATAGATCAAAGCATGTTTACCTTAGATAACATTGGAGAGCAAGGCTAGCTGCCATTGGAGGACCAGAAATATAACTGGATCCAACCAGTGTAGAAGGTGGAAATTCTCTGTTTTCTGTTGCCAAATTTCCATCAGATATGTATGAAAATGAATCGTCTTCACCAGGAACTCCCTTCAAAGGAAGGTAAACATATCCCGGAGCAGTTATAATAGCTAATGCAAGCTGTGTGCCGGTGCTGATGTTTGGTTATGTTAGTGTCCCACATAGACATACAGCAAAATAAGCAGTTGAAATACATACACCGATCACACACAGAATTAGGAAGCCTCGGCCGCCTAATCATAAGTCTCCCACTGGAGGAGAGGGTGGGGCTGGGGCTCAGCAGTGCCGGTCCAACGGTGTAGGTGGAGGAGGCCTGGGGCTAGTGGCTGGGGGCAGCTAGTGTCTGGGGGCTGACGGCGGATGTCCTGGAAGCAGGCTGGAGAGCTGCAGGTAAGAGCACACGTGTGCAAGGAAAAGGACCCTGCGGAGCCCACCAAAGATTCTGCACAGCCCATCTGTGAGTCTCAAGTGGGCTGTGCAGGATCTATGGAGGGCTGTGTGGTGTCTATGGTGGGCTCTGCAGTGTCTATGGTGGGCTGCAAAGGATCTATGGAAGGCTGTGTGGGGTCTATGGTGGGCTGTGCAGGATCTGTGGTGGGCTCTGCAGGGTCTCAGGTTGACTGTGCAGAATCTGTGGTGGACTGTACAGGGTCTATGGTGGGCTCTGCATGGTCTCAAGTGGGCTGTGCAGGATGTGTGGTGGGATCTGCGTGGTCTACGGTGGGCTCTGCGGGGGTCTCAGGTTGGCTGTGCAGGATCTGTGGTGCACTGTGCAGGGTCTTAAGTGGGCTCTACATGATCTATGGTGGGCTGTGCAGGGTCTCAGGTAGGCTGTGTGGGATCTATGGTGGGCTCTGCAGGGTCTCAGGTGGGCTTTGCAGCCTGGGACCCTGCAGAGCCCACCAGAGATCCTTTACAGCCCAACTGAGACCCCGCAGAGCCCACCACATACCCCGAACAGCCAACCATAGGTCCTGCATATCCCTTATGAGACCCCAGCTATGCTAATAGTGCAACCTGTCAAAAGCTGGATACAGCATGTGCGCTGTATTCAGTGAATGACAGTTTACGCAAAAAGTTTTAAACAGGAAGGGGTGAGGAAAATTTAGATCGGGGGCTGCCCGTGTTTTGTCTTGCCAAGGGCAACCCCAAACAAAGTAACTGAACTGAAGGTAACTGAAGGGTGAACTGTTGTCAAATCGCTGAGGTAGGGATGATACTATGGCATTGTACAGTATGTGAAAGAAGGATGGTGTCAGTGGCCCCCACCCATGTTCCGGGATGGCTGTTATAGTTTGATGTAGATGGCCTATTTAACCCCTCTTGTGAACCAGTTGTCCTCTTCTGTTCTTGGGTAACCAACATCTTCACATTCCATGAGGATATTTTTATGTTTTGGATTTTTCATTATTTTGTTATTTGGGATTGGGGCTCTATTTGTTTCAAGATTAAAAATGCACCTTGTCCCCATGTCGATAAAGACTGGGCCCCTTCCCCACAACCCTATCCCTTTGGTTGTGGGGAACTGCGGGCAGGATTGCTTATCAGATCCCACCCCTACTGAAAGAGTAAGGGGTAGTTGTTACCTCTACTCACTCACCAAATAAACATTCAAATTGTAAATAAACACAAAACACAGTGAAAGTCCTTTATTTGACAAACAAAAACACAACGCAGGTTTTTGAAAATTCATTCATAAAAAAAAAAAGGATCCATCGATGTAATCTAAAGGTCAATGACGTTGGCCAACGACGTAGATCCACATCAATCACAATGAACGATGGCCGCCCACTCGACGAAAAAATATCCACCGACCGGTCCAATCCAGACAAATTCTCGCCGCAAAATAACAGCTCTGACCCGAAAGCTCGGAACTTGTCACGATGTCGTGGGACTTGTCCCGCCCCTTTGTTGACATTCAGGACCAGAGACCTGTCATAATAATAACAACTCTGTTCCCGAATAGCATTCAGGTCCGGAAGCAGAGTTGTTGTTATTATTAATAATAATTGAAAAACGTGTAGGTGCATAAAAATATATATCTGTTGTTGTGGGTTATGATTTCTGATATAAGATCAATAATGAAAACGCATTTTATATCAAAATAATATGAAAAGTAAGATTATTTTGTATTTTTCGGTAAACCTTCTTATATGTTCTTCTCGTGTTGTGCTGTGAAAAAGCTTTTTTGTCATAC